ATGTATACGGTGAATGGCTGGAAGCTTTCATCATAGATCGTATCTCAACTCGTGCCACCAAATTAAAGCAACCGCATGTGTTAAGCCGTTTTTAGGTTCCACACATCTTAATCTAGCACAACGGTACAGCATTCACTTTCGTAGAATTCTCCGCTTTTGTAAACAAGACGGTATCCAGCATATCCGATCGTTGCCATTTCACCCACAATCTAACGGTCAAGTGGTACATTACGTTGACACTTTCAAGCAGTCGTACTCAAAACTCAGAGAAAACGACTTCGGAAATCAGCGAAACTTTCATGCTGAGTGACAGATCAACGCAGTGTTAATACACTAAATGGCAACCCACCAGAAGAAACCTTGATAGACTGAAAGCCACGTTTACAACTCGACGTTATTCGTAGAGCGTCACGTTTCTTAATCGGTCGAAACATCCGCATGGAAAAGCAATTCAACCGTCATCACGGTGCCAGGGATCGCACGTTTTACGTTAATCAAGCTGCGTTGGCTAAGGATTATGGTGATAGTGACGAAAACTGAGCGTAGGGTCTGAGTGTATGCCGCACGGGCAATGTTACTTATGAAGTGGATGTAAAATCTTCACTCTGGGTCTGCTATGCCAACCAGTTGCGTTCGTCACCCGCCACACGCCTGACTGTCCTATCGACATTTTCCTGAATACTTCTGAGCTCGTGCAGAGGTCAGAAACTTAAGAAGATATCAAGCAACTAGTAACATCATCAAAAAGATGAGCTAACCGAATGAGACGGCAGCGGATATCTATGCAGCTGGATCCACGATAGCAGTCATATGAACATGTGATCAAGAGGGGAGGTTTTAGGAGGGCTGCCACCAAACGAACTCATCCGCTTCGTTGATATCTATGTTCATTAACTACAAGTATATTTCCCGCCATCCCAACTCATCACTAAACCTATCCTGGACAGTGAAGTTCCTTCCTTTCCATGGTACTACGCTCAATCTCTCCGCACTTTACTTCCCGGAGATAAATTTCCCATCAGTGCTTGTTTCTCTTTTCACCTTCCTTGTGTCGAAACTGATTGTTTGAAAGATAAGAAGAACATAACAGATTCCGATGTCCATAAGTTGGACGTCTCGAGAAAGTAACAAGGGCTCCTCAGAAAACGTATTGACCGCCGATGGCAAGCTTACATCGTCCTTCGTTGTCAAAAGAAGTGTACGACAGGGCTGCCCTATGTCCCCTTTCTCCTGCAAATTTTCAAATGAAAACGCTCTGTCTAGAGCTCTGGAGGATTACCAACATTTTGGTCTGCGACAACTACCGGGCAAGTAGGCGACTGACTTTCGACTGACTGACTGTCGAAGTGTGGAATGCTGCTCTAGGATTGGCATCCGTCCGTCCCCGTGCTCACTCTTGAAGGTACACAGCTTGAACCAGTAGATAGCCTCGTCTAATTGGACAGCTGCATGTCTTCTGGTGGCCTTATTGTGAATGAAGTTTCCCTCAGCATCACCAATACCCGGTCGGCGTTTATCGAGCTGAAATACTTGTGGCGTGGTCGGGATGTCTCGGTCTTGGTGAAGGGTTGTGTTTACAGTGCCACCGTTCGGACGGTGTTGCTATATGGAAGCGAGTCGTGGACAGTCCGCGTGGATGACATCCACCGGCTCTCGGCCTTCGATAATGGGTGCTTGAGGAGGATCGCTGGTGTGTGGTGACAGTAACGCACCTTCAGCAGTAAAGTCGGACGTCGTATCTTAGGTAATGCGGATATCCCCTTCAACAATCTGGTTACGTTGCGTTAGTTAGGATAGCTCGGTTACGTCCTGAGTATGTCAGCTAAGCGTTTTACCTATTGCGCCCTTATCGCCCGTGCAGGGCTTGGTTGGAAGAGATCACGTGGCGGTCAGCCGTCCACTTAGTGACAGCATATGAAATCACTGACTTCAGGTTTTGTTGCCGTTGGATCCACACGTCTGTCTGGTGGGAATCAAAGGTCAAAACGTACCGATGGCTGGAAACGACCCAGTAGATCTATGTACATACTTGTTTCGATTCAGATAATTAATGCTTAGCAAATGAAATAGATGAAAGCATGGTGTATGAAAAAATAACAAAAAATAAACACAGAGTTCAGATCTTCTTGCGGCACTGTAGCTGAAGCGCGTTACTCACCTTCAGCTAATGTGCCATGATGATGATGCGGTGATTAAACCAGTATTCTTTCAGTGACTACCATGGTTTTGGTTGGCTCTACGTCTACTCGTTAGGATGTTACGAATGGTACTAATAAAATCCGGCGAACATGCGACCAGTGACTCAACGGTGTTCCGTGAGCGCTTACTTAGTTCGGATGCCAGTGTATCTTGGTATGCATTCAGAACACATGGCTTCACCAGTCGGTTGGTAAATATGCGCTGAAACGCGCCGACCGATCAGCAACTACAAATGCGTGGTTGGATTTCGCGCTTGTGCTACAAATCTATCGGCAACTGCTGAACGCAGCTCGATTCGCAGTTTGAGAATGTGTTGTGCTATTCGAGCAACCGCATGAAAGAAGATAGATCCCCTAGGCCAATAGTAAAACAAGATGTTTTTGTTGAGTTATGCCGTCAAACCTCAAACGAACGAGAAAAGCACTGGGCCGCTACAGTACGCTCGGAATGCGTTACTCTAAGCCTTACCCATTTGTCTACATGATATGAGCAGCTCCGGAGCAGTATATTGAATTGGCAAGTTGCGCTAAACACCGTATCAATTTGCAAGTGTGCAGATAAGCATACAGCCGTCAAAAACCATGAAAAACAATGGAAGGTCCAGTGTCGAAAAAGCGCTGAACACAACACAGAGATCCATAGTTTTAGCTGACGGCATGATACTACCTAATTGCTCAAGCCGAAGAAGGCAGTTGACTCAGGGAACATCACCGTTTTTGCACAGAGAGATGGCCAGCCGTCCCATTTGAGCGTGTTTTGGGTAAAGTGCAGTGGCAAAAAGTCAAGAGGTAAACAAATGGCGCGATCTGTCCAGATATGCTGTTAAATAAGATTATACATCTTTAGCACCTCCGTCTCTTGCCTAAAAGAGGTTACTTTGTAAGCAAATCGTAATTTCAGTCAGCGCGAGTGACCAATTTTTGTGCCAAAGGGCCGTCCCAATTGGACATTTCTTGGACGACTTTTAGTCACTCGAATACATTTTCGTCTAGGCTTAATGGCTAAAGTATTATGCAACTACAATTTGGGAATAGATTTCTGCTTAATGTTGTCGGTATTTGCAAGCAGAAAAAAATACATTCAAGTATATGTTAAGGGTGCGTTGAAGAAAAACTGAGTGACGAAAGGTCATCCCAATTGGGACACATTTTGGTCACCCGAAAACATTTTCGGTTTAGCTTAACGGACATATTGTTTCGTAATTACAAGTTGGGAATCGATTTCCGGTTAATGTTGACGGTATTTGCAACTAGGAAAAATGCATACAAGGTATATGGCAAGGGTGCGTCGGAGAAAAACATTCCGAGTGACCAAAGTCATCCAAAATGTGTCCAATTGGGACGGCCGGGGACACAAGAATTGGTCACTCAGCACGTCCAAAGGTCATTGCCGCGGACACCTTTTGGTCACTCGTGCTGACAGCGACCCCGAGCCTTTGGCTAAATAGCCTACACACAAGACGACTAGGTTCCTTAAAGAAATGGCGCCTACTGGGACCCACAGACTGACCAGCTCAGTTCATGTGCCTTTCGTCTGGTCGGTTGCCAAGAGAGGCCGAATCCTCCTCGTATTACACCAAAGTAAAGTTTATTCTCGTCGGGATGTCACCTATGTCTGGTCGGAGCCGTTCTCATCACCCATACACGTTAAGCTGAGGGTGATAAACAAACCTCAGCTATTGTATGGTCAGAGTAGCCAGATGACTTACTACATAGATCACTCAGTTCAAATGTTGTATGTCCACGCAGAACTGCTAATGCGCGAAAGACATGCGGAAAGACATGATGTGAACGGTTTTTTGTGATACTTCAAAGTATAAATGTCGTTTGCAACCACCTTCCCAATTCATAAGGCTGTTACCAACCCCTCACGCGAAAAGCGGTGGCCATATACCGAATGAAGAAGGGACTTTCGAGTGGTCAATTATGTTGCTCGCAACCACTACTCATAATTCTATAGAATTACGCAATTTCCGCGAACGGAATGTTTTGCAACAAAGTACAGCAAACAGCGCCCATTCATGGAGTACAAACAAATTAAAAAATTAATAACTGATGCTGCGTGTTGGCTTGGTAACAATTCAGTACATTGACAGTCAAACAGCAAATTATAACAAGTCACAAATGTTATTCAGATCCGTATTACAAGCGCTAATCACACAAGGTTGTAAACACCGGCAGATTACAGTGATACGATTGTTGATCTTGCAACAGTAAACGATAACCTCATCCAATGTCATGTCAGGTATTGAAGAGATCCGACCAGAATCCCAAAAAAATCTTGCCATGGTCTCTCTAAAGCGCAGCATTACTTAGCAATGCGCGATAAGCGCAACACGTACGAGAACAAATTCCTTTGCGTAAACACAGGCGAATGGGCTTTTCTGCATTGCGCTCTTACAGTGGAGGAGTGTGCGAAATGTTTGGGCATTTGTTAGCTAGGTACTATGTCGGCTACACAGAAACAGTCAACTATGCTTCGCAACCTACCGTAGCGATAAACTATACTCAGCAGACGCTAAGTATGCATCGAAAAGTGTTTTGGTCACAGTGTATGTTTTGTTGACATATATGTCTCATCTCATAAAGACCCACCAACTCGAGAAGTTAACTACTACATTTGCTTATAGATTCGTGGAAACTTCGGGGTGCGAAAGATATGCAGTTGTTTGGAGTGTGAGTGGTAAAGAGCAAAACGGAGTAAAAGCTATCTCCTATAGAAAGTACCAAAACTGTGTGTCAAAAGAGCAAATTATGTGAACAGGTCACGAGTGATAAGGTTGTTTAAGCGTAAATTCTCACCCCAATTTTTTCGGTTGCCTTTGGTGCAACCCTTTGGTAGAGACTCTTCGTTTTTTTGGAATAGAGGAGAATGTGCTCATGTCACATTGCGCAGGAGCGCATTCACGATTGTTTAGAAAATACGGCTCAACAGATTGTATATGGTGACAGCGGGCGGCCGTGGTAAGTGAACTGGGTCGTGCAGCTGAGCATCCTAGGCGTCGCTGTCTCGATCTATTATCTTTAAGAAGAAAAGCGGGACCTGTGGATGGTATAAGATGCCATCAGTAACCTGCGTGTACCTGGGATTTTTGTATTGGAATGTTGATGAGCGGAAGCCAACGTCCGTACTGACTGATGTACAGCCACGAATGGTTTCACACGAGTGGAAAAAGCTGTTGTATCTATTATGTGGAATAGTCGTACTTGAATCGTGGACGAATTGGGTGCTGTTTGGAAAGCACTGGCTTCTCATCAGTGTGATCAGAATCCACAGACAGGTCTATTCAAGTGCTTATAAGCACAAAATTCACGTTCGGAAGCAAGATACAAGGTATGTGAAGCATTTCTGCCATAGGCAAAAGCAGCCATCACTGCGCAAATTACAGCGATGTACTCCAGGAAGCATAGTTAACTTCTGGTACACAGTAATACTCCTCGTTCGACGGAAAACTGCGTGCAAAGGAGAATGGATCCCGATAAAAATGCACATGCCATTTTGTAAAAAGCTAATAAGAGTGGGCTTAACGGTGGATGAAATGTGTCCGCAAATGGCCATAAAGTGTATAGAAATAATCACAATAACAATGAGCAACGAAGTCATTAGACTAAAAAAGGTAGTATAGCGCGATGATGGTGCGCTATATATCCGGCAAGAGACTAGACGGCCAACCAAAGGCATTGAGTGTAATACACTAAAGTAAGCTAGGAAAAATGTTTATTGGACGGGAGGAGAGTTAGCTAATGCTAAAAATATGGCATCAGAAGAGAGCTAGCTAGAGTGGATGTAGTTTCGCGTCGAGTGTGCGGACGGAATGTCGTTCTCAGCCGAATCGCACGCCAAAGGCGGATATCGAATTCGTGTTTCAAACAAACGGGAACAAGGTTCCAACGGGCAAACCGCCTAGTTCCCCAATACATAATAAAGCTATAATTTTAATATATGTTAAAATACTACATAGTTATACAGGAGAATCTCCAGGTCACTACAGTAGAGTATGCAAACCATTGCATGCGTTAGAAGACCAAAGTATGCCCAAATGAGTCTCCCGACTGCCAGCCTGGGGGCCATGGACGATGAAGGAATATATATATTAGAGCTCATGCAGGACGAAATTTATTATCCTCGGAAAATACTACAACACAAACGTAGGCAGAACAATACGTTTCCAGTTACGCAGTTCACAGATAAGGTTCAGATGAACTGTGAACTGTAATCCATTCTGAACGTTGTTCAGTGATTTCAATTCACAGAAACTGATATCAGCAGCTCAGTAGTGTTCACAAGTCATAAGGCTCGCCATACTCTGAGTGTATGTTTAGAACTCAGTCGGTGTTATTGGAAGGCCATGAGTTTCTATGATTACAAATGTGGTTTAAAGCAACACCAGAGAATTGAGCGACTACATGCTGAGTTTGGTGATGATGCGTCTTCAAGAACCACCGTGTTCGAATGGGTTGAGTGGAAGTTAAGCGTGGCAGGCGGGCTCTGAATGATGAGGCACGTTGTGGTTGATCTGTAGAGGTCACCACCGCGGACAACATTGCTGCTGTGCAAGCGATGCTGGAGGAGGACGCTTGGGTGATTGCGGTACAGGTGGAAAAACCCATCGGGATCTCATCGAGATCAATCCGCAACATCCTACATGAGAACCTTAGCTTCAGAAAGGTTTATGCACGCTAGGTACCCCATCAGCTCAGTGAGGACCTGAAAGCAGTTCGGGTGAATTGGTGCCGCACCATGCTTGCCAGGCTGAATGCTGGACGTTCCAAAGATATATATATAGCATTATGCTAATTACAATATAATTGGATGAGTACCACAACAAATAAGACGAAAAAAGGATAGCCTGAAAGAGAAAACAACTGTTAGGGTAGAAAATTCTCACAGCAAGTGCGCCACTGTGTACGGTCCTTGGCCATATCCTCCAGTGTTTGCAATCAGGTGTGATCGGGATCCTTTGGCCCCAACCAGGGAGTCGGGAAGGCCTGACAACAGCCAGCTTCAAGGTTTGCGTCTTAACACATTGGATCTAAGTTTTACATTGTCCTCCATTTCGTCGCTTCCAAGCCACGACTGTGCTCGCAAATAAGGATCGTCGTGGTAGCCGCTGGGTAGGAAGATCCTCAGTAGTGATGAGATCTGGGTGTTGAATTTCGACCCAGAGACTAAGCAACAATCGGCTCAGTGAACGGCCGTTGGTGGGGCGCCGCCTCAGAAATGCTGACGTTAGCGCAATGTGGCCAAGCAGATGGTAGCTGTATTCGTGGTTAAGGCCGGTTATGTGGTTACTCTACCGCGTGTACGGCAGCGCACAGTCATCGGAGACTAGTATGCCAAATACTGTTTGCCACAAGTGCTGGAAGCTGTAAACAGGCGGCGTCCCAGAACTCAAGCTCGAGGGACCTTGCTGCACCATGAAAGCGCACCTGCACACAAGTCCCGTGTCATGGTAGATATTCTGGCTAGAGAGCGTATCCAGGAGGTTGGTCACCCACCCTACAGTCCAGACTTGGCTCCGTGTGACTTTTTGTGTTCCCATATGTCAAGCGCATAATGTGTGGAATCCACTACGAGTCCCTAGAAGCTGCGACAGAGGTCTTTTATAGAGCTGCTTGAAGGGTTATTCACTGCGGCATGGTCTAGATCAGTGGCATACAGCCTGTTCCCAAAGCGGGTTCACTACAAACAAGTACCCCCACACCAAAATTAGATTAAAAAGCTAATTATCTATTATCTATTAAACTTTGGTTGTCAATTACCGAAAATAAATACTAGTTTTATTACTTTCGGCCATTCAAATGAAAAACGTCCTCTGAGTAATTTTTAATAACCAAGTGGTGATATACATTAATGAGATTGTTGATATTGCTTGGCGCTAACAAGTCCTATTATAGTTGGTGCGGTTTCGGCTAGTGCACATCGTAACTCGTGCTCCAAGTTCATTCGGTTCCTTGCCTTGGTGTGTGATCCTTGATCGAACATGAACAGATGTCAGTGGCTTCTCAGTTATTTCCACCACTACTTCCATACCCTTCCTGTATGACAGCTTCGCACCACAACTCTGTACTGTTTTGTCCCTGCTACATTGTAACCACTCGCTCACTCCTTTAACAGGTCGGCTGACCTATGCTTCCACCTTATTGTCCATTCAACTCTGTACTCCGACCTCGCGAATGACTGTGATTCGAAAGAACTATGATCGAGGAGCCAATCGATAGCTGCTCTACTTTACAGGCTTTATTCGTATTTGAAATAGGAAAATTTATTACCAGCAATTGTCTAATAAATAATATGAAATGTAGGATAAAATGTAGTCTCTTCTCATTTCAAATGACGTGGACATAGCGTCTAGTGAGAGGAAGTCATGACCTTCGGAGGTTAGCCACTGTCACCTGCTAAGGTAGTAACCTGCGTGGCAGTGGAAGATAGGCCGTGCTATATCCCAGTTAGCTTGCAAATTGTGTAACCCAGCCGACGTCCCCCATGGCTCAGTGGCTTAAGCTGCTGGCTAGTTGGCATCTGCCTCTAGCGGTCATGGGTTCGATCCTCAGTAGGGGACCGAGGGAATGCGCATCATCGATGAGCCCAATAGGGAGAAACGCGTCTGGTGTTTTGCCGGACTAGGCTGTGCTATGCAGCTTGTGAGCAGATGGGACGAAAACATCACAATTATAATTGTCTAATACAATGACTAATAGCTAATGATTACTCACTGATAAATAATCAATAGTTATTAGGTAGTTTGATCAGATATATTGTTACAGATGAGTTTGCAAGCGCTTTTTTAGAAACCGATTTATGACGCAATCTTTGTACTTATAGTTACTCCCGCAAAGTTTCATTTTACCCTCTTTGGGGGTAGGTACCCCCAAGTTGAGAACCGCTGGTCTGGCTGCGTTTCCGAATAGTCTGAGCGCAAAGGACCGTGCATAAACGCTGGTGGAGAGTACGTCGAGAAAAGGCAATGCTTATTTTGTTTTAAAATATTAATCTTTTGTGCAGCCGGAAACTTATTACTCTACCCTCGTACATGTTAACTATGACTTCATTCCAAAATTGGGATTTGAAATAATTGCTGTACACAAGCTTAAAAGTTTGAATGTGTCTTGTTTGAGGCGTTTGCCCAAGTCTGTCTCTTTGCTGCGAATTTTGCCTTATCCACTCGACTTCAGCGTGTGAAATTGCTTTCCATATACTACTGTCGTCGCCGTGGGGAGGTGGTGTAAATTATAAGAGGAGAATTAGAGGAGGATATGCGACAGCCCTCCAAGCTGAATGTAGATTGCCCAACACTGGATCATAGTTAGAAACCGTTTAAACCGAAGGGGTTACATGTCCGCTCCGATGTCATAGCGTCCAGCTGTGATGTGAAGTGCGGTTTCTTTCTGCTTGATAGCAAATTGAAATTTGTGAGTGCGCTGTCTTTGGGGTATTTCTTTCTAAGGACGATTACGGAACAGTTTTCACAAGAGTACGGTGCAGCAAATCGACTATTTCATTAACGTAATAGGAAGACATAGGTTGCGATAGGTAACGTTTCGACTGCTCTCGTCAGTCGCTACGCAATACATGCGGAACAAAACACGGAATAAATAGGGTGCACACTTAGTAACATAGATAAGCAGATAAAATTGATGGGAATGACGTAATCAGGTCCAAGGCAATCTGATCGATTGCCTCAATTGTTTCTGGGCACAGAACACAGGACAATTCAACCTTATCAGTAACGCCTTGCTAATTGCTAACAGCGTCGGGTTCCTGTTGCGCGACAATTGGCAATTGGCGAGGCGCTACTGATAAGGTTGAATTGTCCTGTGCTCTGTGCCCAGAAATAATTGAGACAATCAATTAAATTGTCTTGGAGGTGATTACGTCATTCACCTCAATTGTATCTGCTTAGCTATGTTGCTAAGTGTGGACGCTATGTATTGCGTGTTTTGTTCTGCCTGTATTGCGTAGCGACTGACGAGAGAAATCGAAATGTTAACATTTCGCAACCTATGTCTTCCTATTACGTTAATGAAATAGTCGATTTGCTGCACCGTACTCTTGTGAAAACTGTTCCGTAATCGTCCTTAGAAAGAAATACCCCAAAGACAGCGCACTCACAAATTTCAATTTGCTATCAAGCAGAAAGAAACCGCACTTCACATCACAGCTGGACGCTATGACATCGGAGCGGACATGTAACCCCTTCGGTTTAAACGGTTTCTAACTATGATCCAGTGTTGGGCAATCTACATTCAGCTTGGAGGGCTGTCGCATATCCTCCTCTAATTCTCCTCTTATAATTTACACCACCTCCCCACGGCGACGACAGTAGTATATGGAAAGCAATTTCACACGCTGAAGTCGAGTGGATAAGGCAAAATTCGCAGCAAAGAGACAGACTTGGGCAAACGCCTCAAACAAGACACATTCAAACTTTTAAGCTTGTGTACAGCAATTA